GGGAAACTAAATATATATATACAGTATATATATATATATATATATATATATATATATATCATAGGATATTCAGTATTAGCTGCTAGGGTGCTCGATACAATACTGAAGAGCACATAGTATAGTATATTACGCTCGGTATAAATATGAGTTGTTGTTACTCCGAGTTTCACGCTTAACGGCGATCATCAGACAACTGTAATTAGGCCTAGATGTTTTTATCCTATTTATATTGGGAAATCATTAAGAAATCCAACACACACAAACGTAAATCTGGCCAATGCAACCTATGCATAGAAGAAAAACTAGCTATCCTATTGGCAAAACAATCTAACATAAACAAAAGAACCGAACTAGTCGCTAAGTGTAAGTATATATGCACGAAAAACAACAATGCTGATAAGCAGCTGCTAAAATGTAAACGTACTGTAAGAAAACGAACCAGACCTTTCAGACTAGTCCTTCTTCAGTGGCGATATATTTTTATACAAAACTGGCGCCAAATGTCTTGAAGAGAAAAAGTATGTATTAATGTTATAACAATGGTGACATAACATAAAGACGTGGTAAATTTGACAAAACTAATATGCTGTATCGTATTTGTACACGAATATTTTGGTTATTTCTGGAAATTTCCTTTAAAGTGAATACATACGCCGGTATGCTATCAATAATATTATAATTACTAGCAATATAAAATGTGAATGTAAACATTCGGCGATAAGACGGATATTAGACATCCCATTGAATGTGACAACAAACTGTTTTATGACCAAATATAGTTATGATGTGCCTATATATGGTCATGATGTGATGTCATCATGACCATATTTAGGCATGTCACATTTTTAAAAATATAATTTAATAGTCTGGACATTGGACTTTAGCCTCATAATAATATGTTAAAATTTACACAGCATAAACAAATCACAATCACCTTTGAAAGGTGACTGTACTTGCTTTTGCATGTGAAAGAACAACATGTAATGAATGTGTTACCGGTATTGATTTCCGTCGTAATGAAAGACGTTAGAACACGTAAAGAAATAATGTACATTAAGATGAATATAAAGAGTTTCATCTTGTAACTAATGAGTTTTTTGTTCAGGCCTGTATACCAGGATTCTTTAAAGGGATGTAAGTGAGAGTGCAAGTATGGAAGGCAATTGCCGCGAAAAAGGTTGCTGCGAGTACGTTGTACGTTTGCAACTGTATTTTTGGCGGCGATTGCCTTCCATACCCAAGGTCTTGAGGCATCATTAAGCACACCAAAGCTGCATTTACACCGGATCCGAACCGAAATTCGGACCGCGTTTCTGATGCGCTGAACGAAGCGTCGTCTGTCCTTACATACAGCACTGATTCGATTTTCTGATCGGAAAATAAGCTTTAGTCTTTTTAGTCTACTTTGTAGGGTCCGGGAAAACTAGTAAATACACAGTAAAATTTGTAATTATCAATAATTTGATGCTTTTTAATGACAAAATGCGGTTGATTTGGCGTTGATTTGGCGCACCCCCCACCCTCCCAGAAAAAAAAAAAAAGAAAGAAAAAAATCTCAGCC